CCTCTGCTAAGCCCTTGTCCCATTTTTCCCCCAGCGTGTCCCATTTACCCCAAACTTACAAGTCCGAATTTTCAATTTTTTTTTACACAACTGAAAAATTTAAAGACTTTTTGATCTTTTTTTAACGCCAAATGGTGTGGAACAGAGTAGCCTATCCTTTAAAAGCATTAGAAAAACCCAACTCCCTTGTTGATTTGTGGAAACCTTATTATTAAAACCCCTTATTACCCCAACTGACCCTACGCGTGCAGGCTCGGAGGGAGGTCTAGTGGGCACCCCTGGGGGTCTCTTGTTTGATGATCCTTGGTAGGGGGCGGCCCGAGCCTCAGCGGCCTTCTTGGCCTGCTTGGCCATGGAGGCAGAGCCTCCGCGGACGGTCTTCGTGGAGGTGGCTGCCTTCGTGGAGGTGGCTGCCTTCGCCCTCTCCAAGATTTCAGCCTTCTTGGAGACGACGCCGGAGTTGGAGGCGCCCAGGCGTCGACCCGAAGTGGAGGCGACGGCCGCGGTAGCACTGGTGGTACTGGAACAGGACGCGGCGCCCAGGCGTCGACCCGAAGTGGAGGCGCCGGTTGAGGCCGAGGCCGAGTCACGCGCGGGGGCCACAGCAGGGGCAGATGGCTGAAAAAAATCACAACAGTGAATTAAACACAGCCCTCCGCGCCGGCGATACCCCGCGCGCCAAGCTCAGCTGACCAGCCACTACACTGCCGCGCCGCGCCCCCTTCCCCTCCCCTTCCCCTCGCCCAGCCGCGCCACTGCGCGCCAACAGCTGATTCAAAGACGGGAGGAAAACAGGCAAAAGTACAGGATTTTCCGATCAAATTTTCACGCGCCTCGCTCCGGCACAACGAGAGCAAGGCCCTGACTAACGAATCCTGAGCAAAACATCAGGACGACACAGAAACACACGTGTTTACATTCAGAGGGAATGCCAAAAAAGCACACCATTTCGGCCGATTTTCACTCAAGTTTTCGGAATTTCGAGAAAATTTCACCGCGCCTCGCTTCGGAATCGCTCGCCGCAGCGCCCGGACAAAACACAGACATGAAAGCATTGCGAGCTACAAGGAAAACAAAGAGACTTTGTTTTCCACAGGGGGAAGGACACATTGCACAGACCGATTTTCGCCAAAGTTTTCGGAATTTCGGGAGAATTTCAACGCGCCTCGCTTCGGAATCGCGCGCCGAAGCGCCAGAACAGAGAGAAAACAGCGGAAAGATTCCAACCTCCAAAACACGTGCGCCCCCAAACTGGCCGCCGCCCCAACGCCCCGCTTACACACTTTGCAACACAGAAATAACACTTTCCCGTGAATTTGAGATCGCCGCGAGCACGACGCGACAGGGAACACAGGATTAGCGAAAACGACAGCTCAGAACGACCCAGAAAGGCGAGCACGAGGGCCAGAGGGGCGAGCGCGAAACGACGGCGAAAACGATCTCACACTTTTAAAAACTCACCTCAGCGAAAATCTCACCTGAGAGATTCACCCCTAGCGAAAAAACTACTGCGAGAGGAAGAACCTGACAATTCCAGGTCCTTCGCTAGTGATTATCAGAATCCATAGCGTTTACGTTTCTCTCACAACGAAGGACACGACACTTCACAAACAGTAGCTTGCAGCACAATGATGGCGGAACTCTTTTCGAAGGGTTTGGGGGGTAGGTTCAAAAGGGAAAAGGATAAGTGGTCAGTGCCGGTCGTTTTTTTGACCGGCTAAATTTGATTTGAGGACAATCTAATCTGATTTAACCCCAAGAATGTTTTGTCACCGTGTAGGATAATTTTCAGATCCATTCGTGACAGGAAACGATTGAAAAGAGGTAACAGAGACTCAAACGCAAGGGGGCAAGTAGGTGCTAGTGGCGCGAAAACGGGGCGGAACGGTAGGAGTATTTCGCAACGAGAACGAGAACGTTTGCCGATAGATTAAACCCGGGGGGGGTTTGTGAAAATAAATTACAAAAAAATAATTCACCTGGAGAAGTGCAAATGCTTTCGCGATGACAGGTCATGTAAGCCCATAATAACGGCCTGTTCGAATCACGGCAGGGCGAGGGGGTGAAGGGGCGGGGTGGGCCGCCCGGCTCGGCTCCGCCCGGCTCCGGCGCGGCTCGGCTCGGCTTGACTCCGCTCGTCACACGGTTCACTCCCGAGCACACACGATAGCCCAGCGGTCAGCGAGGCTGGGCGCTGCACCGCTGGAGGCGGCTGGCCCAGGGTTCAAGTACCGCTGGGTGCTCAAGTGTTTTTACTCGACTAAGATTAGAGTACTCACCATCAGGGGGCGCCCGCCGTGCGCCGCGGTAGTATAAAAGGTCTCGTCGACGAGGCCGACGCGTCATTTGGCGTCGAGCAGGCACCGCGATGAAGTCCACTCGTTTCATCTTGAATGTGGGAAACCCAGAAGGAGCTGGAGGTTCCCCGGCAGACGGGACAGTCCAAATATGGAAGAAAGGTTTTCCCAAAAAATGATTACAGCATAAAGAGGTGCAAGAGTTTTATTTGGAGAGGCGCCGCTTGGTCCCAAAAATCAATGCGCACCTCACAGGAGAGACCAAGGACCACCTCGGCCAGTACGACAGGCTGCAGTCCCACCTGATACACTATATCGAGCTGCGCGACAAGCCGTTCGTAGTGTTTGGGGAGAGACAACAACTTCAAAGAGGAGAACGGAGTGCCCAGTTCCATGAGGCCTATCTAGGGCTGACGCCCGGACCAGTCTGTGCGAACACGCGTCCAGCATCCTAGACATCTTGCCCGGGGGCGGGGCTTGAGACGGGCCTGGCCCACACGGTGCGCGTTGGGTGCCTACCCCCCCGGCGTCCGGCTCACCGGAGCGGGGCGGCGGCCGGGGGGGGCTAGCGGATGACGTCACCACCGCGACCCAGACCTAAGGCTAGGTTAGACCCGGGACTATGGGGGACCACGTCCCCTCCCTACCCAGGCGTGCACGGCGCTCCGGGGGGCGGTCGCCACCCTTGCAAAAAGGAAAATATATGGAAAATATGTGTCAATATATGACTCCATATATGTTTCATGTATTGCCCAATATAATTGTATCTTGCTCAATATATTGCAAATTATCTTGCGCAATGCGTGGTTTATATATAGGGGTATATCTTGGTGCCCGTTAATATATGATGCATATATTTCCCCATATAATATTATCTTCGCGAAATGTATGTTTCAATATCTGACACGGTGCCCGTCGTGGGATGGGGCAGGGTGAAGAGGGCAGACTTTTCAAGTAACTTTTCTTAATATCTTAGCACTCGATGTTAAAAGGCGGCTATATTTCTCAACATGATTTTATGTTGTAAAATATATTGACGCCATATATTGATCAGGGGCAAGGTTCTTTTCTATGCGTTTAAGTCTCCAAGAAATTTTGAGAAATCCTGTTTAACAAGTCAACTGGAACAGTTAGGAAGTTTTAAACGTCTTTTTTGAGTATAGCGCGAAAAGTTCGTCTAGGCGACCACGGTAGGATCACGATTGGATGTCCTCGCATGGCGAGGTTACATTCTTTGATAATAGTAAAGGAAGTCTCTGAGTCGTCAGACTCCATGGTGTATTCACACTATATATTGCCTACATATAGAGCAATGTATGAAATTTAAATATTTGCCACATATTTTTTATATCGGATAAGTATCTTGCTAAATTATCTTTTCCACATATGTCGTCAATACATGTTGGGCCATATATTTTGCCCATATAGTGCCCATATATTTTCCATTTTGCAAGGGCAGCTACCCGCGACGATGGGGGACCACCGCCTGGCTTAGGCTGGGGTGGGTTAGCGCCGAAAAAGATGCCGACTCACCTTAGGTTGGGCTGGGTTAGAGCCGAAAAAGATGACGACCGACTTAGGTTGGGTTGGGTTTCAGCCCGAATCTTGGCCGAATCACCAAAAAAATCGAAAAAAATGACTACCCCCGAAATATTCAGGTTGGGTTAGACCCCGGACTATGGGGGACCACGGGACCAGGCCGGGACTATGGGGTAGCCATACTACTCAGCTGTGTATGCGCGTTCTACTGTTCCAACTCAAACGGCTGCAATCCAGGTATTTGCTTCAAAATGTAAACTCCGTAGGCGTCAATTAATGTAAACTCCGTAGACATTTCCCCTATGATTTTTGGGGAAAATCTTTTTTTTTTTCGAAAAGGTGACGCTTGATTTGTTTCACATTATGCATGCCGAAACAAGAAAAACAAGCCCAATATGAATGAAATCGGACAACTTTTAATTTTTCACAGTTCTAAACGTGAAATTGTAACATTTCTGTAGAATGACCCAGTTTAGTTTACTGCACTGTGACTTTGAATTGCTGGGTCTGGGAGCTTTATTTTCCAGTCTCACAACAATGTATCCCAGCAGAAAAGGCCTATCTGAGGAGCTACCGCCAACAAAGAGCTTCCTTACAAGAACTGATCTACTTTGGACTAAAAAACACAGGCTTAACCAACATTTTTGACGAATCTGAGACTTTTATACTAACTAGAGTCTTTTTCAGAAAATGATGATTTTTTGGTGTCGAAATCTCCAGTTCGTCAATAATGTTGGTTATGCATTCTTTTTAAATTTTAAAGTAGATAAGCCTTTGTAGGGAAGCTCTTGCCAGATCAATTTTTGTTCGCGGTAGCTCCTCAGATATGTCCTTTTCTGCTGGGGTACATCGATAAGATTACAGACCAATCGCTTGTCTCTTACTTTAAGTCCTTTGACTCCATCGGACTTTGACCCGGGCCGCAAGATTCTTTCCTAAAAGTATTCACACAGGAAACATGTGAAATCGTCTGTTTCTCCTGGTGCAACGCTGAATGTCTTCTCGCAACACCTTTCGTGCATCCACCGAAGACAGGCGTCACACCGAATCATTTTGCCGACAAAAGAAGAAGAATGATTTGCAAATTCGCCCTGACCACACAAAAGACAGATGTGCCGCATGTTTGGACATTCTTGTAAAACTTTGTTTGCAAACTTCAATCTAAATGTGTCAGGGTTCTTGAATTCTGGAACTGCAGACGTTCCAAAAGAGCGCATTTTAAGCGATGGCGCTAAGTTGGCAAGCCTGTGGCTCGTTCGAATTCGCAGTTCAAATTCTGAAACTTTTTCCAGGGGTTCTCTACTCTAAAGCCTACCACCGTGCCAAATTTCAGAATTGAACTGCGATAGGTGAGGAACTGCAGACGTCCGAAAAGAGCGCATTTTTAGCGATCTCGCTAAGTTGGCAGGCCTGTGGCTCGTTCGAATTCGCAGTTCAAATTCTGAAACTTTTTCAAGGTGTTCTCTACCCTAAGGCCTACCACTGTAGTGAATTTCAGAATTTGAACTGCGATAGGTAAGGAACTGCAGACGTTCGTAAAGAGTGTATTTTTAGCGATGGCGCTAAGTTGGCAAGCATGTGGCTCGTTCGAATTCGCAGTTCAAATTCTGAAACTTTTTCCAGGTGTACTCTACCCTAAGCCCTACTACTGTACCGAATTTCAGAATTTGAACTGCGATAGGTGAGGAACTGCAGACGTTCGTAAAGAGCGCATTTTAAGCGATGGCGCTAAGTTGGCAGGCCTGTGGCTCGTTCGAATTCGCAGTTCAAATTCTGAAACTTTTTCCAGGTGTTCTCTACTCTAAGGCCTACCACCGTGCCAAATTTCAGAATTTGAACTGCGATAGGTGAGGAACTGCAGACGTCCGAAAAGAGCGCATTTTTTGCGATCTCGCTAAGTTGGCAGGCCTTTGGGTCGTTCGAATTCGCAGTTCAAATTTTGAAACTTTTTTCCCGGTGTTTTCTCCCTAGGGGCTACCACCGTGCCCAAAATTTTAGAATTTGAACTGCGATAGGTGAGGAACTGCAGACGTCCGAAAAAAGCGCATTTTTAGCGATTTGCTAAGTTGGCAGGGCCCGTGGCTCGTTCGAATTCGCAGTTCAAATTCTGAAACTTTTTCCAGGTGTTCTCTACCCTAAGGCCTACCACCCTGCCAAAATTTTAGAATTGAACTGCGATAGGTAGGAACTGCAGACGTCGAAAAGAGGATTTTTAGCGATCTCGCTAAGTTGGCAGGCTGTGGCTCGTTCGAATTCGCAGTTCAAATTCTGAAACTTTTTCCAGGTGTACTCTACCCTAAGCCCTACTACTGTACGAATTTTAGAATTTGAACTGCGATAGGTAAGGAACTGCAGACGTTCGTAAAGAGTGTATTTTAGCGATGGCGCTAAGTTGGCAAGCCTGTGGCTCGTTCGAATTCGCAGTTCAAAATTTTGAAACTTTTTCCCGGTGTACTCTACCCTAAGCCCCACACGTACCAAAATTTTAGAATTTGAACTGCGATAGGTGAGGAACTGCAGACGTTCGTAAAGAGCGCATTTTAAGCGATGGCGCTAAGTTGGCAGGCCTGTGGCTCGTTCGAATTCGCAGTTCAAAATTTTGAAACTTTTTCCAGGTGTTTTTACTCTAGGCCCACCACCGTGCCAAAATTTTAGAATTTGAACTGCGATAGGTGAGGAACTGCAGATCCGAAAAGAGCGCATTTTTTGCGATCTCGCTAAGTTGGCAGGCCTGTGGCTCGTTCGAATTCGCAGTTCAAATTCTGAAACTTTTTTCCCGGTGTTCTCTACCCTAGGGCTACCCCCGTGCCAAATTTTAGAATTTGAACTGCGATAGGTGAGGAACTGCAGACGTCCGAAAAGAGCGCATTTTTAGCGATCTCGCTAAGTTGGCAGGCCTGTGGCTCGTTCGAATTCGCAGTTCAAATTCTGAAACTTTTTCCAGGTTTCTCTACCTAAGGCCTACCACCGTGCCAAATTTTAGAATTTGAACTGCGATAGGTGAGGAATGCAGACGTCCGAAAAGAGCGCATTTTTTGCGATTCCCCTAAGTTGGGAGGCCTGTGGCTCGTTCGAATTCGCAGTTCAAATTCTGAAACTTTTCCAGGTGCTCTCTACTCTAAGGGCCCACCACCGTGCCAAAATTTTAGAATTTGAACTGCGATAGGTAAAGGGAAATGCAGACGTTTCCCCAAAAAGCGCATTTTTAGCGATCGCTAAGTTTGCAAGCCTGTGGCTCGTTCGAATTCGCAGTTCAAAATTTTGAAACTTTTTCCAGGTGTTCTCTACTCTAGGGCCCACCACCGTGCCAAATTTCAGAATTTGAACTGCGATAGGGAGGAACTGCAGACGTCCGAAAAAAGCGCATTTTTAGCGATTCCCCTAAGTTGGCAGCCTGTGGCTCGTTCGAATTCGCAGTTCAAATTCTGAAACTTTTTCCAGGTGTTCTCTACCTAAGGCCCACCACCGTGCCAAATTTCAGAATTTGAACTGCGATAGGTGAGAAACTGCAGACGTCCGAAAAGGGCGCATTTTTTGCGATCTCGCTAAGTTGGCAGGCTTGTGGCTCGTTCGAATTCGCAGTTCAAAATTTTGAAATTTTTTCCCGGGTTCTCTACCCCCAAAGGGCCCACCACCGTGCCAAATTTCAGAATTTGAACTGCGATAGGGAGAAACTGCAGAAAAAAATGTGGCTGGCGATTTTTTTGGGTGGCAACATAGCACGTATAACCCGAAGTGAAGGAGCACTGCTTTTATAATGTTTCATCTCTAGGGTTTCCCTTATACGTATCAATGGATACACCCTCAGCAGCGGTAGGGGCTGTTAAATTCATATTTTTTGCTGCTGTTTTCAGCTGCTGTCCAAAGGGAGTTGGTTTGCGTCTTTAGCAAAGAGAGCATTTTTTCCACCACATTAATCATCTGTTTGGAAACCGTGCCCTGGGTCAAAGTTCGCTCGCCTTTCGGTGTCTCGTTTCGGATAGTAAGTCCTTTCTCTCTTATGATGCCTGGATTCTTTGCTCTCGGTGCTGTCTTCCAATAAAACTCTCTCCCCGTGCAAGTAACAGCTGCAAAAGAAGCAAAGTGATACTTATAGGGGAAGACACTGGTACAGAAAGAAAGCGGCACTCCTGCTACTTAGCGCAATAATCTAGATCTAGGAGTGATACAATCTAGGAGTGGCACATAGATTTTGCAATGTCAGATTATTAGTTTAATTTCGCTCAAAGCAAAAACTACTGTAAAAATTTAAAGTATTCTATCCAATTTGTTTAATATTTTGGTTATTTAATTTTCACATTACGCTTCATAATCGGCACGCTTTTTGGGGCAGTTTTAAATGTGAAGTTAAATTAGTATATGAGAAACAATTGTTCTGTGGGAGTGTAAATTAAAGGATTGGTTATGAAGATTTTTTTTGTTTTGTTTTGTTACAGATGCCCCTTGAGAAGAAACAAAAGGAAGGAACCTTGCAAGCATTGTGGCAGGACAAACGCTGTTGTGTGCTATGAAAAATTGCAAGCATATGAAACCAAAGGATTTCAAGTTCTTCACTGGACTAACTCAGGAGCAGTTTGAAATAGTGTATGAACTGTGTGGTGGCGAGGAAGTTTGTTCTACTCTGAAGTATCGCTACAGTCGGAAATCTCCTAAAAAGGCCATTGTCAGCAACTTCACTCCTCGAGATAGACTTTTCATGACCCTAATCAGACTGAGAAGAGGAATACCTTTGAGAGACTTGTCTTTTGTTTGTGGCATGTCCTTAGGGTTTGCATCTGAATGTGTGTATACATGGATCAGATTGATGAGTTTGACAGCACAGAAGTTGGAAGCAGCAATGTGTTTATCTGCAGCGGATCAAACAGAAAATAAGCCAAAGTGTTTCAAACCATTCCCAAACCTGAAGATGATAATAGACTCTACAGAATTCAAAGTCGAAACACCAAGCAACTTTGAGCAGCAGGCAAATTTATTCTCTTTCTACAAGAAGACAACCACTGCCAAAGTCCTCATTGGAATTTCTTGTTATGGAGGAATATCTTTCATCAGTGAAGCATTTGAGGGAAGCATCAGTGATAAGCAGATTGTTTTAAAGAGTGGGCTCATGGACCTCCTTTCGCCCAATGATGCAATAATGGCTGATAGAGGATTTGATATGGAGGCAGAGTTTGCCGCTGCAGAAGTGGACCTCATTATGCCCCCATTTCTTGCAGGAAGGGATTGTTTCACAGCAAGAGAATTATTGCTAGCAAAGACCATTTCTTCAGGCCGCATACACGTTGAAAGGGCAATACGAAGAATTAGAGAGTTCAGGATTGTGGGAAGAATAATTCCAAGCACTCTCATGCCCATATTTGGTGACATGATGAGAACCTTTGCTCTCTTAATCAACTTCCAAAATCCTTACATTCAAGGAGACAAGGATGAGGATTATGATGACAACTTTGACATGAATTCATCATTTTAGATGGAGAGGGATGGAGTTCAGTTATTTTGTCTATGGTTCATTACTTTTTGTTTATTTTATGGACATAATTTATTTATTGTTACATGAGATGTTTAAGCTTTATTTTATGTACATATGGAGTAACTTTATTATATTTGTTACATAATGTATGTATTTGGTTTGTTATAGACATATACAGAAACTTTATTATGTAAATTTGGTATGTAAGATATTTGGTTTACTATAGGACATCGTTGTTACTATATTATTTATTACCTTCTAGCTCAGTTGCTTTAAATTTTAACTTGGTACAATCAGTTTATTCAAGCATTGTGATAAAATGTGTTGCAAGTTGTTGAAATTTGCACTAGGATAACTTGAGCCTAGAGATGTGGATGCATGAAATTTGTGCTTTATTTGGGATGGGTTCATCAAGTTTTGGTGAAGTCTAGACGGAGATTTTGTGTGCATGTGAATGAATTTGGGAACAATACATGTAATTAGCTCTTTCTGATTTTGTCATAGAAACAGGGCATTGTTTACACATATATGTGTAAGTCCTTAAACAACTAGTTCCTAGCGATGTTACCCCAATAGTGTACTGAAGCCAACACACCAATGCTCATCAAACACTAGTTTTTATGTGCACTTTGGTCGTTGGCCATAATTAGCTTAGAAGAGTCCATACTAATAGTCATAAGTACTGCTTGTTATATTTTATTGAATGGCTGTATTGCTTTTGGTACCCTCAGACTGCTATAGGTGATAGAAATGTACTTAGCTATCAATTGTGATATGCTGTCTCAGTCTTCATCTGGGTAATACAGTTCAGCAGCCTGCAATAGTTGAAATAGAATTGAGGAATTTGATTAGATTTGGTTCATTTCTTTATTTATATATTTATTTATTTATACTTAAATTAATTTGTACAATTGATGTGACAATACATCTGATTTGAAGACTGAAATAAAGGTGGATTAATTTTAGTTGAGTAGCACATCCCTACATCCCCACCCAAGCATGCACATGAGTGCAATAGATTTATCAGAGATAATTGTAGGACTATAACAGCTGACACAGGTGTGTCAGGTTATAAATAACTCCAAGAAAAAGGCTACCCATGGCATGTCAACCTTCCTCCAACACCATCCACCATCAGAATAAATTTAAAAAAAAAAAAAACCAAGGCAAAATCCACCAAGTAGAAAGAATGCCTCCACAAAAATAGGATTCGGTGGAAAGGAATCAGATGAAATCGAAGAAGTGACTTACAACACCAAAATAAGGAGGTTGTGAGATGAACATTGGGTGATAAGATGATGTTTTGTGCCATTCCTCTTTCGTGAATAACAAGGTAGATCGGTGAATATGTGAGTGGAATTATGATAAATTAATTTATGATGTTATCACACTACATGACATATTAAGGGGTTTGAGTGGCCAGTAAAATAATTTTTTTCAATGTTTATGGGAATAGTTGTAGTTTAAAGTGCTTTTGAAATTTTCCAGAAAAACAGAGTTTAGGAAGTTATTTCATTATACCTGGAGTGAAGATTAGTCACCCAGAAGAGCAAGTCTATAGCTGTGACAAGCAGGAATACAATGAAACCCATACCCAGTTCTCAATTCTTTTAAAGAGAGCAAAAGCAAAAAGATCAAAGCAAACTACCCTTAGCCATGACAATGAATGAATCTGATATAGGTGTGAGACTATCTGCACCAGGAACCAGGAGACATTTAGCCAAATAGAATAGTTAAAATGGTCGTCTACGAAAAACACATGCAAAAACAAACCTCAGTAACTGTACCAAGCGTAACAATTGCCCGGAAGGGATACATTACCTACACTCAACAACAGCTATGAGATAAGAGCAGGAGCAGTGAAAGTTAGACGCAAATGCAAGATACTATATGAACACAACAGAGATCGAAGGTGCTGATGAATACAATATCTCAAATACCTTCATGCCCATGAGCATCAATGTGTTGCAGGAGCAGCAGGAGAACAGCCACAATATGAGAACAGCACTTAATTGCTCTTGCCTTGCACTCACAACTGCACTCCACTATATCTCCAGAAGCTTCATCAAAAGTGGCTCTCACAACATGGATAACATTCTCCATACTAGCTTGGACTTGGGCCTAGAGGTAAGGAGGGAGTGAAAAATGGTGTTTTTGAAATTTTTTGCAGGAGGTCACAAAATAATTTGTTCTCAATTTTTAGTATACTAGTGGTATGTTAGAAAAGGATGTCGTGACTGGTTACTAGAACAACTGACCTATGAGGCTTTTCTTCCAATGACATTTTGAAATTAATTAAAATAAATATGACATAACTTAAGGGCAAATGAAAGATGATAAAGAATTTCATACATAACTTATTTCAAAATGATTTGCAAAGGGACAACTAAATGATCATTCTTGAAATTACTATTGGGACCTCAATTTGGCAGACTTCTTTGACAAGGTTGAATGGGCAAGGACCAAAAAATAAAAAGTGACGTTCATGCACATTTTCTTACTTTAAAAATTATCACTAGCAAAATTTTATTTAAAATTTACTTTTATGTTATGACATTAAAGTTTCTAACATACTTTGATATTCAGCATTTTCACTCTGGTCTCACCTTGATGTAGTAGTAAGTCCATCATAGTTGTCAAGGACTGCTAGAATGTTCCCACTCCTGAGGTATTTGGAGCCCCTACGTATATTACTTTTTGCTTGGAACTGAATGCTGCTTTCATTTTCCGGTCCATCACTCCAATCATCAAGTTCATCATCTGAATCTAATGTAACTCCTCTCTTGTAGGAAAATTTGAATGTTGGAGCATCAGTCAATAAATATTTGTCAATTTTTGCCTGGGATATCCCTGGGAATTGTGAAACCGGGAAATGGTTTCCAATCCTTATTGGGAGGTGCAGGGAAGTCGCAAACGCCATCCTTCTATGGTTACAAATAAAGTAAAATGAACAGATTACAAAATTAACAATTAGTTAGAACGAAACAATAACGTATAGCAAGATCATACCTTCATTTGGCTCATGATTTTAATTTTTTTTTTTCATGCCAATGCCCCCTATCCACTTTGGGGTCAATCTTTCCTGACTTTCCCTGTCCATCATGAAGTTTGACACTGAGGAAAAATTTAACATAAATCATAAATGCGAGGTTAGTGCAAACCTAACCGATGCAAGAGAGTAGAGATAGAGAACATGAAACTTGCCGATTCAATAGATCAGGCCTGTTACCACCGACAGTCAAGCCTCGGCAACTCAGCCACCTCTTAAGTTCCTCATTTGTTGCATCGTCGAAGTTCTTGGATTTGAGGGTGGCCCCAGGGACATCCTCTGGTTTTAAGAGTGGATCCAGCTCGGTGTGTTTCCGCTTAATAGGAAAAACCTTGCCTTCACCAGCTTAGATGTCCGGCCATAGTCCTGAGAACCAACAATCAAATGATTTGCAGAGACAAAAAGCTGACAACAAAGGAAAAAAAAAAGTGAAGGGAAGAACTCTTACATGGTCACCAACATGTGGGGTAGACATGGGTGGATGAATTTTTGCAGGTGGAGGTTTCAAAGCTAATGCCGCTGTGCCATTGTTAGCCTGCAGAATACATAAGATTCGTTGAAAAATAAGAAGGACATATCATGATTTAACAGTTGAATAAGATCACAAGCAATGACCTGAAGGTCAACGATATTTTCCCATTGAGAGGGCTCAGGGATTTCACAGTTATTGCGGATTTCAGGAACAGGATTATCAGGGATCTGAAGATGGGAGCTGCGATGGGAGCTGCGGGCTTCAAGATTGTCTTGCGCTTCTGAGGGACAGGAAGCCTCGAAGGCTTCAACAAAGTCTTGCTCTGTGACAAAAAATAAAACATGATTAAATGAGATGAGACAAATGATATAGAGTATTATTTTGACATATGCATGTTTACAGTTTCCCAGAGTGCTTAAGCATTGTGGACAGAAATAAAAAAAGCTACAATAACTTGCCAGTGTAGCAGGGTTCTGAGGGACTGAAGAACTTTAATATTCTGAGGAACTTTAGTGTTCTGAGACATTGGAAGATGCGATTGTTTCTGAGGAGCCTGCAGTTTAGGAGGCCTCAGGACCTGTTTGCTCTGTCGGGAGGAAATCACAATGAAATTGTTTTGAACAGGAAACAGAGGCAGGACTTTGTTCCAGAGCCACAGGATAGAACAATTTATATTTCCAAATAATATCATTCTAATATAAATAGTTCTGGACCAATGAAAAAAAAAAATGATAAGGGGCTTACTGGCAATACATTCTCTTTAAAGGGAGGTCTGGGATCTGATGGTGACATTGATCATAAACAAGTATGTAAGCCTGTACTAGATGGGGGGGGGTAACGGTAACAGTAACACAGTAGTGTCATCGCAAAAATACCAGCTGGGAACAAACAATTGTCAGAAAGATAGTTTAAATAGAATCAGGCAGCTTGAGTAGTAGTAACCAAAGGTGTGTTCTTACCAAGTCCCATTTCTACACATAGCTGTGTAGTGGCCACCTCTCAATGAACCTGAGTGATTGACAACTGCAAGCAGCTTGTAAGGGTGGGGAGAGTCACTATCAATGTTCAAATCAAGAGGGATTTCACTGTGCAGCTGTTCTTTGAAAAAATTAAAGACTTTCCTGATTTTTTTGATTGAAACCTGAAAGGAAACAACGTGTTACAAATAACATGTCACAAACAACAAAAACTTGAACAGTAGAAAGTAACCTAGCAAGGTGCAGAATGAGATAAGGAGGAAGTCTTCCAAAGATCTGCTTCTGTGTTGCCTGGGGAAAGTTTTTCTGAGCACAACTTGGATGACATTTGTATTCAGGTACTTCGCAGGGGGAAGAGAGTTTCTTCAGACAGGACTACAACAAAACACAGAGTACACACATTAAGCATAGAGTTAAAATAGATAACAAAAATATGAATAAAGTAAAACAAAAATCATGGCAGGTATTAAAGTTTTACCTCAACATCAACAAATTTAGAATT